CCCACCAAAACCTAACTAAAAAAATCGAAACTAGCTAAAATATCGGCTCGAACAAAAAACTAGCGGCGTAAAAAATGGCTAAAAAATAGCTAAAGGAGGCCAGTGGAGATTGCTATCCTTTATTTCCAGGAACCGCACGAAAACGTAACACCGCCAACAAAAATATAGCTAAAATCAGGAAAATAGCTAAAAACTTGGCTTGACCAAAAACAAGCTGGCGAAAAAAACAGCTAAAAAGAGTGGCGGTATTTGTTGTTACAAAAATTTAAAAGAATTTCGGTTTCCTTAAAAAATGTTGTTCCAGGAATTATTTTTATTTTATCTCGTGGGTGGACGATGTTTTTCCGTCGGCACTTTGCCTTTTCGGAAACGTATTAGTGCAGGTGTTTGTGCACGCTTAACGAGCAAAGAGGAGACGAAATAGAAATGCACTGTATGTGCGTATGTATGAAGCCTTGGAGTTTAAGCAATTGCTCAGCGCAGAATAGCGCGAGGGAAGCCAATATGTATGTATGTACGTAGGAAATATGTACATTTGCTAGGCGCAGAATAGCGCGAAGCTTGCCCAAAGTATGTATGTATGTATGGATGAAAATATGTAATTTTTGCTAAGCGCAGAATAGCGCGAAGCTTGCCAAAATATGTATGTATGTATGTATGGATGAAAATATGTAATTTTTGCTAAGCGCAGAATAGCGCGAAGCTTGCCCAAATATGTATGTATGTATGTGTGTAAAGGCTTTCTTTAAAATTGTATTATTAATACTATTTGGAATTGCAGTTAGTAACGGACGTATTTTGGAACTGAGTGACGGGACATGAATTTGTAAGAAAAAAATATATATTTATGTATATATATATGCACTTGGACACCAGCGGATCACAGCACGCCTATGTAGGGGGGCCAATATTGACAAAGTACTTTTGCACTTTAAAACGGAAGAAAATTTACTGTGGCTGGGCGTTTATCACTATGTGCACATATGTATATATATTTTTTCACTTTTCACTGTGACTTTTCATTATTTTCGGATCGAGGAAAAAAAATAACGCCTTGGAAAAGGAATATGGCGATCACGGACGAATGGACTTTGGACTTCGTACTTATCTTGGTATCCGCAATGGGGCGCTGGAAATCAAAATTTCGCTCGCAGGCTCGAAGGACCATGAAGTGGAGGGGGCGGAGTGGCCAAAACAAGATCGTCGTCCTTCTTGGAGGTGTGGTCGTCGGAACGTTGGGCTGGAGTTGGGCTGGCTGCTAAGTCCCACAATTTTCCCAATTAGTAGGCGAGAGGGGGGTAGCTTCCTTCAATTCAATTTTATTCGCTTCACTTCAATATTACGACTAACTTAACTATATGGAGAACGGGCTGCAGGGACCGCGGAGTGGTGAGTTCGCTGCTGGAGAATAGCGAAAGAGAGGGAGACGGGAAGAGCGGAGGACACAGTGAGCGGGAGCACAAGCTTGAGCGCAAGCGCTCGCCGCTTACACTGCCGCTCAGAACTTCACGCCCTTCTGGCGTGAACAATGTTTTTCAGTTCGAGACCAAATTCCATCGTATTCCACAGAACGTCATCAATGGAAGTCGGGTCCCAACAAAGAGAGAGCTATTGGGCATGGTTATGGCGATTTTCGACCCTTTCGGGTTGATTGCCGACTATCATATCATAGTTCAGAATACTTGGAGCTTTGGAACAGATTGGGATGAAGCAATACCGCCTGAACTGCATCCAAATTGGAAAAGTTGGTTGGCCGAGATACACAAGATGCACAACTTTAAGGTTCCACGAATTTACTCTCCAAATTTAAACTGCTGCGAAAGATTGGAGATGCATATATTCGTCGACGCGAGTCAAGAAGCATTTGCAGCGGTTGCTTATCTGCGCATAGTTTGTCCTACCGTCGTTGACATAGCCTTTGTCATAGGAAAAACACGCCTAGCACCGAAGAAACTATTGTCCGTCCCTAGACTGGAGCTTCAAGCTGCGGTCCTTGGAATTCGATTGAATCGCTTACTGCAACAGAATCATAAGCTCCCAATTGATGAACAATTTTTTTGGAGTGATTCCAAAACTGTCCTGCAGTGGGTTCGTTCAAAGACGAGAAAATTTAAACCGTTTGTAAGTCACCGGATCACCGAAATACTGTCAAGTTCAACCGAGTTACAATGGAATTGGGTACCATCGTCAAACAACTCTGCTGATGCCGCCACTCGTTTATCGAATTCCCCGAAGATTTCTAGCCAAAGCCCATGGATACTTGGCCCGAGCTTCTTAAAACTACCGCGCTGTGATTGGCCACGAAGTACTGACATCACTTTACCAGATGTTTTTGAAGAAGAAGTGCCCGAACACCCAGTGTTGAGATGTCAGGTAGTTATACCGATAATAGAGTTTAACCGATTCTCTTCTTACAGCAACCTAAAGCGGGTAATTGGTTGGGTAATGCGGGCCAAAGAACTCTGGCTGAAGCGTTCGGACAAGAAAGGACTTTTAACTGTCCAAGAGTTAGCTGACGCCGAAATTGAGATCTGTCGGATGGTGCAACAAGAGGCCTTTCCCGAGGAAATCAAGAACCTACGGAATCCACAGATTATTACCAAACAAAGCCCAATTTATGAACTGTCGCCATACATTGAAACAGACGGTCTCTTGCATCTATCGGGTCGAATAGACGAAGCCTCATTTTTACCACAGTCGAGACGTCGTCCACTCCTTCTTCCGAAAGATCACAGAGTTTCATATTTAATTATGAGACATTTTCACACGAAATACCATCATCAGAACCAAGCAGTTATCATAAATGAGAGCCGTCAAAAATTTTGGATACCGCATGTTAAGAAACTTTTGAGTAAAGTAATGCATGAATGCAATAGATGCATCTTAGACAGAAGTGTACCTAAGACTCCACGTATGGGTCAACTGCCACCAGACCGATTAACACCATATGTGAGACCATTCACTTATACAGGAGTGGATTTGATCGGCCCACTTACCGTAACTGTGGGGCGTCGTCACGAGAAACGCTGGGGAGTAATATTTACCTGCATGACCGTCAGAGCTGTCCATATAGAATTAGCAGCCGACCTTTCCACGGATGCCTTTATTCTATGTTTGCGAAATTTTATTAATCGTAGAGGCACACCTGTCATGATTCGAAGCGATAATGGTACGAACTTCATCGGAACTACAAAGGAACTCAAGAACAACGAAAATTTATTAGATCAAAACGCCATCAAAAAAAGGGAATAAAATGGATTTTCAATTGCCCTTTACAACCTAATACCGGAGGATGTTGGGAAAGGCTAATACGGATAATAAAACGATTGTTAAGCAAAACCTTGCACAGTGCCAACCCACGAGTTGAGACACTCCAATCTGTATTGATCGAAGCAGAAAACATTATAAACTCAAGCCCTCTTACTGAGTTGCCAATCACACATGAAAACGAAGAACCCCTTACACCAAATCATTTTTTAATGGGTTGTACCAATTCGACACAGACGCCACAACCAACTGTCCAAAATATATGCCTGAGAAAACAGTGGAGAATTGCACAAGCTCTTAAGGACTGCATATGGAAAAGATGGGTAGTGGAGTACCTCCCTCAACTGGTTCATGGTTCTAAGTGGCACGAAGTCAGCACTCCACTAAAAATAGACGATCTGGTACTCATAATGGACGCCACCCTACCAAGAAGTACGTGGAAGAGAGGACGAATAATCAAGGTCTTCACTGGAAAGGATCAGCAAGTGCGTTCAGGCGAGGTGAAAACAGCGGAGACCATTCTGCACCGACCAGCTTCAAAATTATTACAGCTTCAATTGTATGGTGAATCCGAGGACGATTCACGGGTGGGGAAGGTGTAAGAATTTGACATGAATTAAATTTATTTAAATGTGAATTTGATATTTGTATAAGATATCGATAAGTTAAACGATGAAGTATTCCCTCAGTTGTATTTTGACGATATAATAGCCTGGGCACACTGAAAAATGTAAGCGAAGAAGTAAGACGCGCCGAGAAAACACAAAATTGAAACGCGCAGAAAAAAGTGAATAAATTCAAAAATACAGAATAAAAATCAATGCCTTTGTCGAAACTTAACAGTATCTTTTTAATGCATTTTCTAGGTTCGTCGGTTCTCGATTCATAAAAAATTATAATACAAAATTAAAAAAGTTTATTAAAAAACAATAAAATAAAATTAATTTAATTAATTTAATTTAAAAGTGTGATTTTTGGGTTCGTCTGTTTTCGATTCATAGAAGCATGTAAAAAAATTTTCGAAGAAACCTCGCAGAAAGAAGTTATTACACATTGAGCGAAAAAATATCGATCAAAAAATAATCATAATTTTTTTATCGAACTTTTTTCGCTCAAAATTATAATTATTATTCTTTGAGCGAGTAAATAAAACTCAAAAATTAATAATTAAAATTGGTTTAATATATAAAAAATCTAGATTTCAGCAATCATCGGTTATCTCGAAAGAGCATCCAAATTGTAGCCGATTGGTATAATTCGTTTCTTTGTGCCACTTTTCCAAGTGAATGATTTTTTTGTTTAAAGAAAACATTGATAATCATTATTTACGGTCCCTGCTCGAAACCATAATCGGTGTTCGCACAATTACGAACTGGCCGGTACGGCAAATTATGTTTCAAATATATTTAAATGCGGACACAAATGAGGGCTTCTGAACGCTTTCGATTCCAGATTGCGAGTGATTTCACATTTTATTAAAGCTCCTTCTTGGGCTGTTTGATGTACAAATAATGGCTTCTTGAGTGAGTGAGAGAGAGAGAGAGCTTTTCGTTTATAAGCATATGTAAACATTGGGTTTCAAAGATAAGTCGCGTTGACACCATGCATGCTTCAACACATAGGAATAGGTGCAAAGCGGTGAATAGACCGCTTGTATATGCCAGATTTTGTTCTGACTACAGCTACGCGAACCTTCCCATCATGTCCTGAAATGACCTCTACAACTACGCCTGTTATCCCCAATGGGGGGGAACGTTGTCTTCTTGAATTGCCACCACTGTTCCGACTTGAAGATTGTCCACGCTATTGGTCCATTTTCCACGCTGCTGTAGGCTCAGTAGATAGTCTCTCGACCAGTCGCTCCAAAATCGTTGTTTGATAGCTGAGACTAGCTGCCATCTCTGCAAGTACGTGAGGTTGCAGTCTGCCTTTGGCTGCGCGGATGCGGGTGGCAGCGTTGCTAGCTTTGTGCCTACGAATAGATGCGCTGGTGTGACAACCTCTCCCTCGTTGGGACTGCCACTGTCCACGATGAGCGGCCTCGAATTTGGCACGGCTTCCACCTCCATGATGACCGTATGCAGCTCGTCCTTCTTGAGAAGGCTATGGACCTTCAACAAAAGGTGCTTGGCCGACTTTACGGCCGCCTCCCAAAGACCGCCAATGTGTGGCGCTCTGGGCGGGATGAATTCGATGGTGAATCGGTGTGCTGCAACACACGACATGATGCTCTGGTCGTTGGTGCCGAAGGGTTCCATGTGCTCCTTGAGGATTCGGGCCGCACCCACAAAATTCGTAGCACTGTCGCAATAAAGTTTGACAACAGGCCCGCGGCGACCCAGAAACCTGGATAAGCATAAAATAAATGTATTAGATGTCAAGTCTTTCAAGATTTCCAAATTAACAGCCTTTGATGCAAAACAGACAAACACTGCTATGTTCATTTTAATTGGCTGTTTTCCACGAATTCCTAGGGAGACTTTGACAGGGCCAAACAGATCGACTCCGCTTACTTCAAAGGGTCTATTTCCCTGTAGTCGATATTTTGGTAAATTACCCATTATCTGTAATAGAAGTTTTGGTTTGTAGTGAAAGCAATGGACACACTGCCTTACAATGGCACTGCACTCACGGCGCGCGTTTATTAGCCAGATTGATTGTCTTAAAAGTCCCACCAACGACCTTGGTCCCGCATGACAGTTGGTTCTATGTAAGTGTCTCAAATATAGATTCACAAATTTGAAGTTCTTTGGCATTAGTAATACTGGCATGACACTGCCGCATTAATTAGAGACTTCATTAAAGATTTGACAGCGCTATAGCGTTTTACACAAGTGCGAACAAGACGACTATATGGCGCTCTAATGCATTAGAATAATGCATTAGCTACTTCATTGCCGCGATAATCGATAGATCTACATATTATATACTAGATACTCGATAACAAAATACGGGTTTAATGAAGAAAATTGTAATTGAAAAATGTATTAGCCAGCTCATTGACAGTATGGTCTCACAATGAGAATTTTATTTTTATATCATTTCGCTTGTTTTTTGAACTGAAAATATATTAGAAAATTAGCAAAAATAATATGTTTTGCGGTAGCAAGTTTCTTGCGCAGTAAAATTAATTAAAATTATTTTTTTTGTAATAATTAAAATAATTTTAAGCATTATAGGTTAAAATCACAAATTTAAAGGATTCTGCATTTATTTATGCAAGAATACTTCGACGAGGAATTCAGAAATTCATAATAATACGCCGCGAATGGCGGCCGTTTTTTTTTGTTTACCTTTTACGGTCGGTGTGACCGTAGTCGTATTACCAAAATAATCCAAGCAAAATCCAAGCAAAATCCAAACAAAATGACAATATAGCTGACTCTTTCAAGGTTCTAATGAAGTAGCTAATTAATGAAAACTGCATTACTGTATCATATGGGCATAAGGGGAATTTAGCGTTGTGCGCAATGGGGCCATGTAGTAGACGACCACCTACTCGCAGCACGGAGAATGACGAATTCCCAAGTTGTTCAACTGAGACAAAGGGATTTAACTTTTGAATTCCCGCACGCAAATTGGCTGATTTCTCCAGCTTCACAATTTCATCTGCAAAGGCTTTCTGTTGAACCGGTTCTACTACCTTAAGAAATGCCGTTCCCAATTCGTCCGCGGACGGACAAATTGAATTCCAAGTAACATTTTTTCGAAGGTTGATAAATCGATAAATGTAGGATACTATGCGAACTACCTTTAGATAAGAAGATGACCTTTCTACAATATTGAGAATCGGGTTTAGCTCACCATCGGCCGCGATAAGAGCGACGCGTGACTTTTTAAATTCTAGTTCTGACTCTGTTTTTGGGAGCAGCACGTGCGAGTTTTGCGGCCAGTATTCCGCTTCCTTCTGTAAAAAACTAGGACCAAGTACCACAACCAGGTATTTAGCTCATCCACAGAGCATCCTCGCGACACTAAATCCGCAGGATTTTCTTTTGTTGGCACATGCCGCCAAACCGCTGATGACACAATGTCCTGAATATCAGCAATTCGATTCGATACAAATGTAGCAAGCTGGGATGGGTGAGTTTGTATCCAATGAAGAACTACTTCCGAATCGGACCACAGTACAACGCTCTCTACAGGAAAGTCAATAATGCTGCGAACTTCTTCCCACAGTTTTGCTTATAGATGCGCCGCGCATAGTTCCAGTTTAGGAATAGTTTTTGTTTTTAAAGGGGCTACTCTAGATTTTGCTGTTAATAAGTGCACAGATACTCCGCTTGGATCAACTACTCTGACATTTAGGCCACACCCATAGGCTCGTGTAGAAGCATCTGCGAACCCATGAATGTGACACACTGCTTGCTTGCTTGTTTCGACAAACCTCGGTATAGTCAACTTTGCAAAAGTGCAAAGTAATTTTTACTAGGTTCCACCTATTTTCAAATTCTTTGGGAACAGGATCGACCCAGTTTAGACTCAAGAGCCAAGCCTCTTGAAGAAATATTTTAGCTTTGGTTATAATTGGGCATAACAAACCCAACGGATCAAAGAGAGTAGCGATGAAGGACAAGATTGATCTTTTGGTTACCAACTGATCAGAAGATACCTTACTAACGCGGTACTTAAACACATCAGAGTGCGGATTCAATATTAATCCAAGTGTTTTGAGGTCTTCAAGATCTCCATGTAAAATTTCTGCATTCGATTTGGTATACGTATTAGTCTCACAATTCGAAGCCCATTTTGTTAAAGCAAAGCCTGCAGGTTCCAAGATGCTAACAAGTTCTCGACGAAGAATGATTATTTCTTCTGCGGTATCTGCTCCAGGGGGCAAATTATCAACGTAAAAATCTTTGGCAAGTGCTCTTGCACCTCTAGGATGTGATTGTAAATGGCTGTCGCTGAGATATTTTAAGCATCTAACTGCAAGAAAATGAGCACTTGCTGTTCCATATGTGACAGTATTCAGCCGATAAATTTGTAAAGGGCTTACAGGATCTCTTCTCCATACAATTAACTGGAAAATTCGCTGCGCCTCGTCAATCTCCACTTGACGGTACATTTTAGTTATGTCTGCCACAAGTGCGAATTTGCGACAGCGAAATCTAAGGAGAGTTCAATATAAGCATGGTTGTATTGTAGCTCCTACCATCAGAAGGTCATTAAGCGACATTTGCGAAGTAGTCTTGCAAGATGCATCAAACACCACTCTTAGCTTGGTGGATTTGCTTTGTGGACGTTCCACACATTGGTAGGGTATAAAACAATGTGGATCTTTCGGTATCGACCCCTCGATTGCAGTCATATGCCCAAGAGCCAAATACTCTTCCATGAACTGATTAAATATTAATTGTGTGTTCGGATTTTTAGATAAGCGTCTCTCTAGTGATAGAAACCGCCTTCTTGCTATCTCAAACGATGATTGGGCTTGATTTAAAAGGTAAGGATACTTGCAATCGACCTGAAGGTAAACGAACAACTGTTTCTCGAAAGATTTTCTCACAAAGCATTTCTTCTGGGGTATACCGTTTGTCGTCGGACACATTTGGAACTTGTTCCAACTCCCAGAAACGTTTGACTAATTTTTCCAGTGGACCAGACTCATTCACGGTGCTTACCATAGAGCACACTTCCGTCCTTTGGTGATCTTTGGATCTATAACGCCCTGACACCACCCAACCAAAAACAGTGTTTTGCAAAGTGAGTGTGTTTTTCTGTTTAATTTGGCCATCTTTTAGCAAATCAAAGAATGCGTCTGCTCCTAGCAGCAAATCTATTTTTTGAGGCTTATGAAAGGCTGGATCAGCTAATGTTAAGCGATTCAACATCTACGCCTTTCTCTGGATGGTGGGAGGAAATAGACTTCAGAACGACGAAATCAAACACCATTTGAAAGCCATGAACGCGCGAACTAATTGTAGTTTGCACCACTTGGTGCGCAGATAAGCTCGATTTTCCAATTCCCAACAAATTAACTTCTTTTCGAATCCGCTTTAACTGCAAGCCTGTTGCCATTTCCTCCGTAATAAAATTAACCTGGGAACCTGAATCCAGAAGTACCCAGGCTGGCTGAATCTGACAAGAGCTACCTTTTATGTTTACAACGGCAGTCGCCAAAACAACTTGCTGTGCATCAATGACGCTGGCGTGATTTGATAATACAGGGCTTGGATGTTCTGCAGCAAGCACTCCAAGATGGCTTGCCGCAGAATCTACATTTTGTGGTATGGATACATCAGCAGTGTATCGATGTAACAATGTATGGTGGGGTTTCGAGCATACCCCGCAGTGAGGTAGTTTGCATGCCGATACATTATGTCCTTTTTTCAAACAATTTGTACAAAGTGGGAATCCCTTGGCAAATTTAAAACTAGTAATGACAGCCGCAGCTGAGAATGACGGACATTTTACTTCTTGCATTTTGCTTGTTTGTGCTGCTGTCAATGCCGTTTTTCTGAACTGCCTACCTTTGTGTTCTTGCTGTCCCCTGCGACCCTTTGACCGTCCGGTTGTGGCTTCTTCAGCCGACAAATGCTGAAAACGCTTATTTTTTGATAATCTAAATTCTCTTCCCACCTAGAGCGAGTCTTTCCGTCAACCTTCGACAAAACTATATAAATCAAAAGTGCGTTTGCAATAACTTTTTCATCACCAACAGACAATAGGGACTCATAAATTGCAGATACGGTATCAATTAGTGACCTCAACGCACTAGCTGACGGACTTTGTATAGCCTGCAGTTCGAAATGTTGAGATATTCCATAAAAAAAAAATAAGGCACTCATTATCATAAACTTGTTTCAGTGCATCAAGAGCTTTCGCATAATTCTGATCCGTCACCTGAAAGGCTTTAACAGTACCGATAGCTTCGCCTTCTAAACAACACAATAGATGATTCAATTTTTCCACGTTGCTTAGCGATGGGTCACAATCAATTATGCTTGAAAACAATCCAATAAAGTTTTTGAATTCAGAATACTTCCCACCAAATTTGGGCAACTGCATTCGCGGCAAGTGACGTGTATGCGATATAGTTGTATTCAAAACTGACTCGTTTAAATTATTAGGCGGGGTTGGACCTTTTAAAGACAATAACAATGCTTTGGTTACCACGCACAAATCTTCGAGTTCGGCTCGCGATAATTCCGAATCGATATCCTCCACTTGCATTTGTAAAGAAAAGGCTCGATCTATATACGTGTATAAAATACTCAACCGACAATCCAATTGCGTGGGATTTAAAGAAATCTTTCTAGTTTTAATAGCTTGCGCTATACGATTGATATCTGCCTTAACTGACTTAAATTTTTCATACTACCTTCCGAATCTACTTCTTCTAC